TATAGCTAATGCATTTTGTTTCAGTACAATAAAGGGCACGTGACCCAAATTTCTTCCCCCAATTATTTTTATTTTAAAAAAAAAAGAATACAGACTCTTCTAGAGCCTGGGAACTGCAAGTCTACAAGATTCGGTGCTTGCTAAGGAGGTCAAATTATTAATGGACACTAAGATCCAAACAAAGGCAAGACAGAAAAGAGGACACAGACTGTGTTTGACCTTCTCCACTCTGACCATTGGATTGTTGGGATGAAAACCATCATCAATGGAGACATTTATTGTCCTTTTTCACTAAAAGCATACTCCTCCCGCATTTCTCTAATTGAAAAACAACAAAAGGAAGAGACTGGAAAGCCAGTGAAGGTCTCCCCAGGGGCCAGACAGAATGATGGGAGTGGGTGCCCAAGAGCCTTAGCGAGCCTTCCCCTATAGACTGAGCAGTATGGTTCTGTCTCACACAGAGGACGTGGTCACAGCTGGTAACTACTCAACAACTCAAAGGGACACTTGCTAGGCACACAGGGCTGGAAAAAAACACTGGGAGGAGCTCAACCTCCAGTGAAGGCCAGTGGCCAAAGGCTCCCAGATGCTCACTACCAGGGGAAAACTAGGACAAGGGACAGCCCCGCAAGCTCTCGCCAGGCCTCAGCAGCCCTAGCCACCTACGGCCAATATACCAGCTCACACAAAATCTGGGAACATCCACTGAGCATTTATGATGAGCCCTGAGATCTGCTGAGGGCTTCAGGAGCATTAGCTCCTGTCATCTTCCCCACAAACCTATGAGGAAGTGTAACAGATGAGATTTATCTGCCCACTGCCTGCCCTGGAGACCTGGCCAGGCAGCCCATCACAGCCTTCTGCTCACTCCTGGCCACAGTGAAGATCTAAGAGGATATACATGGACAAAGAAGAAAGTCTCTCCTCTCTGGTTCTACACAAGGCTTGGCACTACCAGAGACCAGTTTGCGGCTACATGCAGAGGCCCTACCCAAGGACACATACACAGAGCCAAGAGCAGGGGAGAGAAAGCAATGACCTCACTGGAGAACCCGGTCCAGCAACATCTGGGAAGAGTGACCGGTCCTACCACCATCAAATTCCCCCTTTGAGCCAAGCTCATTTGGTTTGGATTTCTGCAGCAAAAAGCTTATTAATATTAGTTCAGATTATTATGCACCAGTTCACGAGCCAAGAAAGGAAGATGTGAGAAACTTGGAGGTGGCCCAGCCAGGACCAGTCACTGTGCCACCTCCACAGCCAAGGGTTAGACACAGCCCTTACAAGCCAGCACTCACTGCACACACCACACCATGGCCTGCTTTCTGTCATCTCCCAGGAGATACAGAAAAGACCCACGACCTTCTAAATTTTCCAGAGGCTCAGGTGGGTCAGAGATATGGTTCCATCACACAACTAGTCTGTTCTCCTTTGCACACCCAAGCTCCCCAACAGGAGATGACGATGTGACCAACAGTAAACTAAGGCTGGTCCCAACAGGAGACAGGAAGCTGAGGCCTGGACTGAGGCTCTGGAAGCAACCCAGGGTGTTCTCAGCAGGACACACTCTTTACCCTCGCCCCGTATCATGACCAGCTGCACACGTCCTCGTGGACCCCGCAGGCTGATGGCTGAGGGAGGAATTTTACTTGGGCACCGAGGAAACACAATTCCCTCCACCCCACTCTCACACAGTCGAAGAAGTCTGGTTAGTTAGGATTCAGGATTGTAACAGCAAAGACCATTCACAAACTGACTCGAGTAACAAAGGGAATTTATTAGTTCCCGTGACTGCTAAGTCCAGAGGAACAACGGCTCAAGAAAAGACTGGATCCAGGAGCTCAAGGTACACAGAACTAGGACGGGCCTGTTTCTCCCCCCACCCCTGCCCCGCCCATTTCTCCACTGTGTTGTTGCCATTTGAGGTCAGGATCCGCCCACATAGCGGCAAAGACTGCTCCCGACAGTGTCCGCCTTACACCCCGTCCTCTCAACAATGCTCTTACTGCCTCTTAGCCGGTCAACGTGGCTGCACACCTTCTGTGACCCAGTCGCCGTGACCAAGTAATGAAGCAGCTGACGATCCACGCTGGCGCCACTGCCACACTCTGGAGCCCAGGTAGGTGGTGGTAGGCTCAATCCCACCAAATCCCACAGAACAGGAAGGAAGAACCCCTCATCAGGACTGGGATAGTGTCCACCCCAGGGAGAAAGAGAATCCTGGTGGCCACGGGAGACAGGCTCTCAACTGACCCCCAAAGATCTCTGCCTCTCAGAAGGCACATCCCTGTGCCGCCCCCTCCTACACTAAGTCAGGACTGATCTGTGTGACAACAGGAAACAGGGAAACGGACAGGGTCTCATTCCCGAGACCAGGTCGTGTGGCATGTGCGCTTGCTCTTAGCTCACTGACGCTCCAGGAAACCAGCTGCTGTGCTGTGCGCAGCCCCCCTGAAGAGGCCCACGTGGCAGGGAACCAAGACCCACACGAGTGAACTTGAAGGTGGACCCTCCAGGGGCACCTGGCTGACTCCATCAGTAGAGCATCCGACTCCTGATTTCAGCTTGGGTCATGATCTTGGGGTGCTGGAGCTGAGCCCTCTCCTGAGCAGGGAATCAGCCTGGGGTCCTCTCCCTCTGCCTCTGCCCCTCTGGTGCACACATGTGCACCCTCTCAAACACACAAATCAAAAAACAAACAAACAAAAAAGAGTGGACCCTCCAGTCCCAACCAAGCCTTCAAGTGACTGCAGCCTCATGATCAAAGTTCCGGCAACTGGCACAGGAACTCTCTGGAACGGATCAGCAATTGGGCGGTACCAGAACGTGCACACACATTCAGCAGCTCCAGCGGCTTCCTTCCTGTTCTCTCCTGCTCGAGTATGTGCCATTTCACACAGGTTCCTCGTACCTGCTGACTGCAAACCTTCATGCACCTTCCACTCTTAGCTACCTGTGGCTCCAGTGGGGACACTCCAGATGCTAAAAACCACCACAGAGATTGCTTTTTTCTATTCCATTCACGGGCTAAAATTCTCCTCAGAATTACCATATACTAAAACACGCTTACTATAAGCTGCACTGAACCGCTTCTCTCCAGAGCCTCCCATCCTCTCCGATACAGCTCTCATTTTGTCCTTTCTGGTGCAGAAGATCATCTCCCCATTTCGTAAACGAGGAAATGCGCGCCTGTTCACCTTCAGCCCTGACCCAGAAACACAATCGGCAAGCAACGGAGCGGGGGCTCCAGGCTAAGCAGCCTCCTCACACAATCCCGAATGGCCGAGACCAGCCATCTGTGACTCAGAACCAGTCTCGGCAGACGTCAGCCTTTATCATAAACACGCACAATTCTACCCCCGAACCCTGGCATGGCCAGACAGAACGGTGGTCCCGTGGGGAAAACACCGGGGACCGTACTTATCACGGTCATTCAACTTTCTGACGTTCTCGAGAGGGCGTTTCAAAGTATAAGGAATGCAGAGAAGTTGCAACTAAAACTAGATACGAGATCCTTTCACCACATTCGATTACATATACGTAACAATGCCACTAGTGCCACACTTGTCACCGGACAGTGCCCGGGCGGTAAGGCTGCGTGAACGCCCGAGCTCTGGACTGCCCTGCACAGCCACAGGACCCCAGCTCCTGGGGTGGTTTGGTTTTTGTTATTTTTTCTAGAGAGAAAGCACACGCGAGCAGGGAGGGGGCAGGAGGAGAGACTCTCAAGCAGACTCCCCACTGAGCGCAGAGCCCGACACAGGGCTCGATCTCAACCCAGATTATCACGATTGGAGCCAAAATCAAGAGCCAGCTGCTTAACTGACCGAGCCACCCACACGTCCCTCCTGGTCTTATTTTAAAGTAGCTTTAAAGAGCCACCAATAAACTGCTTATCCTACCTAAAACAGAAAAAAAACTCAAACTCAAATGTCCAACAAATGGAAGTGATTTTCATGCAGTTCACTTCCTCAATGAAATGCCACATCCAGGCACATAAAAGCCACGAAGATGAAATCTTAGTGCTTCAGAGAAGCAGACTAAGAAATGACAGGCTACAGATCTTAAGGGCAGTCCATAAAAATGTTTGCATGTGAAGAAACGCAGGAAAAGCCACATTTTTATGGGACTTGAGATTGTGAGTTTTCTTTAATAGGATATAAACTCAATCAGAGGAAAGGAAATAAAATGGCTCTTTACTAAGAACAGACTTAACTGTATTCTTCATTAGGATCATTAGGAAGATGCAGATGAAAACCATCTGTGAGGTTATCAGGGACCCAGAAGTGGGACCGGACCCCAGCAGGCACGGCTGGGCAGAAGCAGGCCTTCCCACCCGCCGCCGCGGGACACACAGTAGCTCGGCCTCTAAGGTTTCGGGGTGCGGGGGGAAGGGCAGAGGAGGGGCTGACCTTTATGCACCTTAGGAAACCACTGCACTTTGACACATCAGTTCTACCTCCAGGAATTTTTCCAATGAATTTAGGAGAACCAAGTGATGAACGCAAAGGCTGTGCACAGTGGCATTGTTACAAATAACATTCTTATCTTAGTGCATCCTCACGAACCTCGGACGCCTGGCTGCCAGCACCCTCGCTGAACCCCCTCTGGTGACAATGACCAGGAATCCTGATCACGAGCTGTTAGAAAGAGGGCGGCCCCACGTAGCCCGGTAGGGAACCATCTCCACGCTGTCCAGGGAGGGGGTGTGGGACACATGACCGTTGTTCACGGGGTCAAAGGAAGGGAAGAGAGAGGGAGGCGAAGGAGCAGCTCCAGAACAGCGAGCACCCCCCGCCTCCAGGGGACTGCACCTTTGTATTTCGAACCATATGCATACAGATTATGCAATAATTATCTATTAAGTTAACATCTCAAATGCATAGATTTCCACTGCCTTTGGTTGTTTAATTTTATGCACGGGCGAAGGGTGTGCTTGGGGTTTGCATGAAGCCATGGCCCGCCCCATGTCTCCCTGTCGGGCCCCCTGCTCCGCCTACCTTGCCAGCGCCTGGACCTTCAGGACGTGCCGCTCCTCCTGCTCAGCCACCTTCTTTTTCAAGGTGTCGACCTCCTGCCGCAGCGCCGCTGAATGCTCCATCTCCCCGTCCAGTAGGTTCCGCAAAGACCTGGGCAGAGGGACCATCTGTTCAGACACAGTCAGCAGAGCCCGCCACACCACGACACAGATTCATCTACGTCCGCACCCCTTTGTTTCCCATGAGGGTCTGCACAGCCCTCATTCCAGTCTGTCTTGTGGAAGGGGACCCAGAGACCCCGAAGTCTGCTCAAGAGCCTCTGAGTAAGAGCCAGGAGGTGGCCCAGGCTCTGTGCCTCCCCGCCCCATGGCCAATGAGCAGCGTCAGTCACAGGCAAACAAGCAGTGGAGAGACCCCCAGGCAAGCCCCTTTCAAGGTATCCCACCGCAAGGAGCGGCGCGTGAAAGGAGACCTTTTTGTCAAAGCCACGCAAGAAGAGACGGAACCAGGGCAGGGATGCCAGGGTCCCGTGAGCAGCAGCAGTGGACGGAGATGGAGGTCTCCTCTCATTTCCACTTCTACCCACCAAGCACACCGGCCTCCGGTCACAGCATCTCCAGGTGACACAAGCAGACGTAGCGTTCTATAGCCTTATCTGGTCTCACACCACAGGGATCCTGCTCTGTGTCATGTTTCGCAGTTAACCCTCCAAAACACATCCACTGGTCATCCTTGGTCTTGAAAAGCAGACAAGATGGCAGCTCTTCCAGAAAGAGCCGGAAGCTGCCACCGTGTGTGCCAAACATGGTTCGGACTTCCCGTTTACTTCTGGACCTCAAATGGCTCTTTCTAGAGAACATTTACTTACTCTGGGGCACCTACTTCCCAAATCTAGTGCACATATGCCAGGTGACATCAGGAGAGAGACAGAAGTGTGACTGTAAACTTGGTAGACACCCCCCCCCACCCCCAATCACTCACTCAACTCGAAGGCCCACATTCCTTCCAAGCTTTGAAAAACTCTCTTCTTGGGGCCTGGAACCCCAGGACACAAACGTGGTGCAATTATCTCCCCCATCGGTTAGGAGGAATTGACAGGCAGAACTATCGTTCTTTACAAGGTAAGATGGAACCCATGGCTTCTGCCAAGAGAGCAGCTCCAGCTGGAGCAAGGAAAAAGAATCCTGTGTTGTCTACAAGCCCTTCATTCAAAGTTTATTTTAGTTGGAAAATTGTGCTGTCTCAGATTTCTCTTTTAAAAAATTATCTTTGTTTTAGAAATCATGCTGTTTGTCTTTACATGTTTCCATTAAGGACGAGGAAGAAGCTTGTCAAGCACGGCCCAAAATAAGGTTTAAAAAAGACAATCATGATTGCCCGTCACCATGGACACTTAATTCCAGCTCTGAGGCAAAGAGTAAGAAAGCAACATGACGACATGCCCACAGGCACATGCGCGCCCGTTGCTAACCCCCAGGGAGGCAGGGCGATCAGGCTCACGGAAGCTACAACCGCAGGCAAATCCCTCCACCAACAGCCCTAGTCAGTCGAGAAGCTCCCGTTGAAGGCAGCCAGATGGGAGCAGCATAGCTAGTGCGGGGCAGAGAGCTACCACTGTCTTCAACGGGGAACCCAGCACAATAAAGCCCTTCACCTTCTCACGGTCTGTAACTGGGCTTCTTCTGAACACGCCAAAAAGAAGCGAAATGCCATCTTGCCCTAGGTATCCCTGATTTGAGGAAACTAAGTATCTGAGTGCCTGCGACATGGTAAGAAGATAGGCCCTCAGATAAAAGGTTATTCTGAGGATGCCTGGGTGGCTCAGTGGGTTAAAGCCTCTGCCTTCGGCTCAAGTCATGATCTCAGGGTCCTGGGATCGAGTCCTGCATTGGGCTCTCTGCTCGGCAGGGAGCCTGCTTCTCTCTCTCTCTGCCTGCCTCTCTGCCTACTTACGATCCCTCTCTGTCAAATAAATAAATAAAATCTTTAAAAAAAAAAAAAAAAGGTTACTCCGAAGACTGCTTGGGGGCGGGGGGGTGGGGGCTAGAGGGGCATTCACAGGAAGCTAGCTAACAGGTATTGGGGGGAGAGGTCTTTGTGAGGTGGTGAGAACGTTCTAGAAGAGGACCCTGGTGATGGCTGCACGTCTGCTGACACTGAACTGTACCCTTTAAACAGGTCAATTATATAACGTGTGAATTATATCTCAAAGTCCCTTTCTAAAGAAAGATGTTGGAGAGTACTGCTTTACCAAATTCTTATTGTGTTGTAAGGCAGAGCCACGACTGTGAGGTTTTCAGTCCCTGCCAGTCCTCAAGTGGTACATCCCACATAAACAGAGAGCACTGGTCACAACCCTGTCAAAGCAAAATTTCCTGCATCCGTGAGACTCTGTCCCAGAGCTGTTGAGTCCAAGAGACTCCTCCTGGAGCCTGAAAAGTCAGCAAGTACCTGTTCTCTTCTTCCAGCTCGTCCTTCCTATTCATCATGGCCACAATAGCTTGTCGCAGTTCACCTGAGGGAAGAAAGAATGTCGAGATTCATCAGCAGATCCCACCTGTTTCACTGTCCCCCTCACCGAGCTGGTTTATGTGCTATTTAGGGCAGGCTGTCTAGCCAAGTTCCCTTTCTCTGTCAAAATTAATCCCTGTGCTGTCTCCAAGACCCAAAGGGGGCAGCGCATCCCCTCCTAGCCACACGAAGCGGGAGGGCCGGGCAGAGGGAGGAGCGTGGAGGGCTCTCCTCAGGCAGCACACTCCACTGCCAGGCCTCTGCGGGAGGGAGCGCTCACCACCCACACGCATGAGCCTTGTGACACATGTGTGTCATGCCCCCTCCTGGGGTCACCAGGCATCGCCAGCCCCTCTGCCTGGCCTCAACTGCAGTGACAGCAGCTTCTGACCAGAGGCCGTCCTCAGAGACTCTCCGGAATGATTTTAACTGCACTGTTTTGACCCTAACCACAAATCGCTGGATTTCATGGTCAGAACCTGTCTTTTCTTATGTTCACGCCCAACGTCCAGTCTGATAAAACGCTGCTCTTTCATTCTGGCCCAGCTGTAAAGGCACACCGTCCAGGAAGCCCTCCGTGACTTCCCCACCCCTCACAAACGGCAGAATGTGCAATAATGAACCACCTTTCTCTTACTATTAGCTTATAACTCCTTAAAGGTACACTACAGGTCAGGCACCTTGGGTCCCCAGAAGTCCAGCACGTTGGGTGCTTGGTGCTTGGTTCACGGACAATGAGCAACGCAAACTATTCACACCCAACTACAAAACCACAGAAACTAACAGCAGGAGCAACAGCTGCCCTGTAACGAGCACCTTTGACGTGCAAACTCTCAGTACCTGACTAGTCTTGTGTCAGTTTTCACGACCACAGGATGAGGACACTCAGTACAGAGCAGAAACCCACACTGGGATAAGGCCATAGGGTCTAAAGTCACCTTCCAAGCCCTAAAGCCAAGAATGGTGGAAAAGGCCTTTGGCAGGACCAAGAGCCAGAGAGAAGTCGCTTTAGTGGGGAGCTGGGAGGGGCAGCAGCTTCCACTCCAGGGCCGGGGGCAGGGATCTATGAAGAGCTGCCATCAACAGGCTCCCCGGCTGGGCAGATCCAACTTCAAGCCCCAGCACAGCCACTTCCTGCCTGGTGACCTCAAGCGGGCTTCCATCTCTGCCAAAATTCAGAGGGGCATTAACGCCACATTCCTTGCAGAGGAATTCAGGAGGCAATCCGAGTTCCCGGCCTGGCAGACACACCACAGCAAATGCAGAGAAGGGGTTCAGCGTCCTGAATTTTAAAACCTAGGACCCGGGTTCAAATTCTGACTCTGCAGCTGGTTAACTCTGGGCAAGTTACCCACCCTCTCTGAACATCAGCTCCCTGTCTACAAAATGGAGTCCCGATAGTCACTAGTTCATACAAGCGTCCTGAGGATTCCTTCTGTAATACGGAAGCGAGGTGCTTAGAAAAGGCCCGGCACATAGTCAACACTCAACATGTTACCTGTTACTGTAATTAGCGGCACTTCCTTCAACAGCAGGGGACAGCAAGAGGGGGACGAGGTAGCAGTGACGACCCAAGCAGGAGTTGGTTCAATCAAGCACATTTTCAGGAGTTAGGAGATTTTACAGAGTTCCTGTGTACCTCAACCTTGGGAAATAAAAGTTTTTTTAAAGGGGTCTAAGCCCTAGAGCAGCAAACTAGGTAATAGAACTTTCTTAAGTGTCTACCAAGATCACCATGGACAACGTGGGAAATCAGACCCAAAGACTGAGGTGTCACTTGGAAGAGACGGAGCGGCTGGGTTCTAGGGACACAGCATGAAGGGATCCCAGATACTGCCCCTCATGACAGCTAAAAACTGTGTGTTCCACGGGGGGAAAGACAACTAGGAGGAGGCAGCAGTCCCCAGAAAGTCCCAGAAAACATGAATGTTCTTCCAGCCAAAAGTCACAGTCACTGAAATGAGAGAGCTGGGCCACAGGCTCACCCTGAAGGGACCCCGACCACACCACCCAGGGGCCACCCATGAGAAGACAGTGCGATGACCAAGGCTGAGCTCACCACCGTGACACCAGGAACCAGAAGGATAAACGAGGCTGGGAGACGATCTCTCTGGCCTTTCCTGGACCACCACCACTGCACATTCACAGTCACAATAACACAGGAAATGCCCCAAGTTGGCAGCGACCCACGAGCAAACGCTCGGGACAGACCTTACTTTCACATGCGTGCACCTGGCTGACTTTTCTCGGGCAGCACAGCCAGCGGTAACACCGGGGTTGGTTTTCACAGATCACATAAACATGCTATTTCTCTGAGCACCGGTGACACGCCAGCAGAGGCACTCCCTAACTTGTAATTTTTTCTCCTCTCCCCGGCACCGCACATCTCCTTACCGTTTTAGTCTCTATCACCTTCTTCCTCTTTATCACCTGCCACAACACACGTTTCAAGTGACAAAAGAGCAGCCTCTGCGCAGTGCGGCCTCTGCTGAGCCTGGCTGAGCCGGGGTCTCCCTCGCCCCAGGCTGAAGGCAGAGGACCGTCCACCTCAAAACCAGTTCCCTGCTTGGCTTCAGAGACCCAACAAGCAAATCTGACCAAGTGCGCAAAAGAATATTCACCGTAGGAAATTGATCTGGGATAAAGAGCAGCATTTCCAATCACTGTGGAAAGGGTGAATTTGTCCATAAATGTCACCATTTGGGGAGCAAGAAACAAGACGTACATCCCCGCTTCTGTTATGTACCCAAATAAATATCCAATGGAATCATTTAACTATGAAAGGCGGCCCTAAAACACTAGAAGTATGGGAACAAACATTTATGCCATCTTGCAACAGAGGCCTTGACATGAAAGCAAGTACATGAACGAAATTCTATTCGGTTTGGTTTGTTTTTTCCAACTTCTGCCCATAGAGGGCCCATGTAACGAGAAAACTAATCCAGGAAACTTGACCCTGTTCAGGGGCATCCAACAGAGCAGGAAAAAGACACAGGTTTCCCTCTTCAGATCCCAGACCACTCAAGTTCCCTTCTGGGACCCTGGTCAACCCCTCAGCCGCCACACTGCTGCTCACCGGCGGCCTCACAGGGCAGGGCAGAGACGACAGCGTTTTCCTGGAATGCAGCCACACTCACCCGTTTTCGTAGGGTCTACGGCTGCTTCTGCATGACAAGAGCAGAGCTGAGCTGTCGCGACCGGAATGGAGGGTCCCATCGCATCGCCTGAAGTATCTGCCATCTGGCCCTTTACAGAAAAGGTTTGAGGGGCGTCTGGGTGGCTCAGTGGGTTAAAGCCTCTGCCTTCGGCTCAGGTCATGATTCCAGGGTCCTGGGATCGAGCCCTGCATCCTGCTTTCTGCTCAGCGGGGAGCCTGCTTCCCCCCTTTCTCTCTGCCTGCCTCTCTGCCTACTTGTGATCTCTGTCAAATAAATAAATAAAATCTTTAAAAAGAAAAGAAAAGGTTTGCCTGACTTAGGAGGACATCCCGACACTCTGCCCTCCGCTCCCCCACTGGCAGCCTCCTCCAGTCCAGGGCTGGAGGTAGGGGTCTGGGGTTAGGTAGGGGACCCATGGGACACTCACGCCCGGCCGTGGAGCTCATTGGCCAGACTGCAGGCAGACTGTCGTCCAGGCTTCAGGAGAGGTGAGCCGGCAGGGGAGCAGCTGCTGCCTCAGACACTCTGGGGATGTCCTCGGCCTTGCCACTGGTCCCCCCAGCTGTCCCTGTTCAGCCTCCTGCCCTGGATCTTCTTCATCTGCCTCCAGGGGTTCCCCAGGGGCGGCTGCGTCTACACCCAGGGCTCAACCACCGCTTGCCCCCCACGGATGTCCAACACTCCAGCACGAAGTCACCGGCCCCTCGTGTGGTTCGCACACTGGCACCCTGACTGGCTCCCGCCCTCCTCCCTGCTTTGTCTGCCACACGGCGGACCCACTCCCCTTCTTTCATGCCTCTGGGTCTTGGCACAGGCTGTCCTGAGGGACTCGGAGCCTCCTTCGGGTAGCGGCCAGGGATCACCTCCTCTGTGAGACCCTCCCCCACCTCTGTGAGACCCTCCCCCACCAGCAGGGGCGGCCAAAGAGCCAGGAGGCCCGCCCAGTCGTACTCCTACCCCTGCTTGGGACTCTGCCCACAGAGGCCTCCAGTTGCAGCCACGGAGACATTGGGTGGCTGCTTACCTTCAAATGAGCCCATCAGAGGGAATTCTCCAGAAGTCTGGAATAGGCCAGTTTCTGACTAAAAATAAAGGGGCGGGGGAAGTAGGTAGGAGCAATGCATCTGGCCAAGAACAAACGAATCTAAGTTGTTCCACCAAGACCCATGTGCTAAAAGCTGAGCTGAGGACAGCTGGCCAGGCCTCGGACAAAGGAGCAAACAGACACGGGGGCAGAAGTCTGCCAAAGAGAAGAGCCAGTAAAACCCATCCAGGCAAACCTAGGGCAGAGAAAATGCAGAGTTTCGCAAAGGCGCTGGTGTCTGAAGTGTCAGACATGAGCCTTGGAACCCTGCCACCTGACACTGGGGCAGAGTCACAGAGAAACCCAAACTCTAAGAAGAATCCTTATGGTTTCGGTAAATTTACCATTGGCTGACTTGGTCTCTAAGTGCACAAATGTAGTAGCCAAGACCATTCAGAGAGACTTGCAGAAACCACAAAGCCACAGGAATAACACGGGCATGGAGGAAGGGCCACCCCAGCTCCCGCCTGACTCCAGGGCCCTAGGAGCCCCTGCTAACCCGCCCTTGCATCCCAAACCTCCGCCATCCCAACTCTGCACAGCCAACCAAGCCACCAAGACCGGCCTTTCCCTAAAGTCTCATCACACCTTATCCATACCAGCCTGAAAACAGCAAAGCCCCCACATAGCCCAGAGCAGGGGAGGGGCGGCCAGAAGCAGGGCCCCCCCCCAACGGTGCCTGCCCCTGTCCACAGTACACCCAAGATCTTAAGAATGAGTGAAAGGTGGGATGAATTCACGAGCAATTGGTTCCCACGGCTG